CCTCAAGATATCTTCTCTGTTGATGTATGACTTGGAACTGAAGTTGCACATTGGTAATAAAATCAAACAAGGCATCCAAAGCCTGATCACAACCTGAGTTTTTGTATTTGTATTCACACTACACACACACCACTATTTTTGCAAATTTTCGGAAAACAGACCTCAGCCTTCAGGGCTATCCGGCAACATTTGCAGAATATTGTATTGTGTTATTTCAGACTGAGCTATAAAACAGATTCAGATCATGTGATTGGTTCTTCAGAGAACATACAGTGGAATAGTAAATCAGACAACCAAATGGCATTTTTCATAATATTTCTCCTTCATCCAATCATTTAATTTTCGTGTACCAAAAACACAAATATTGTCACTAAAAATGACATTCCAATTTCCAGCTAGATGTGGAAAAATCTATTCTCGTAATTCTGCAGTGAAACTACAATGGTGATGTGCAGTTGAATTTCAGGTTTGATGAAGATACTGTTATCTTTTTTCATGAAAATACACCCTAGAACAGTTCTATATCAAGATATAGGGCACATGAGATATCACAAGAAATAAACTCCTGGTAATGTCTGATACCTTCTCAGGAAACACTCTGTATGTCGCTTATCAAATCAACATTTTTAGAAATGTTGGAGATTCATTCTAGGAATCCGAAATATCAAGGTCATAAGTTTCGATGACAAATACTCCAGGAACCGATAGAACTCGATGAAATAGTGAATTAAAAAATTCCATAATTTCTTGAAACACTCCCGTCTTCTCTTTAAAAGAAGATATTGTCGTGAATCGTAAACTATTGTGTTAAGAAGGGATCACACTTGAATCCAAAACACAATGAAGCTAAGTTTATGAACTCACTTTTGCCACAGATTAAGCAGTTAAGGGCGAAAGAGCAACTTTTGTTTCTCCCTGTATAATGATCAAGCCATCTGTTTTTCTCTGGAACTGAAAATCAGGCTAACGTTTCGAAACATAAATCTGCGATCTGGTTGAAATTTCACCAAAATCTGACAGGAATCAAAAGTTACAGGGTGTTAGCGACTAGCCAGATGCCGGACGACCTGTACCATTAGAAGCACAGCGCTACAGTTAGTGGTTACATAAGGTTTAGTCACCTATCTACAAATGACTGTATCCGATCAGGAGGCATTTAGGTTGATTCATTCTTATTTGAAGCGTTGTAAAGAATACATTGTGTCAAGTGTTAATAAAGGTGGAAGGTTTCAGAGGGACTAATTCTGTTCTGTCAACCCTATACCGAGCAGTGCTAATAAGGGTGATCACTTTGGTTAATTTTTTTCTGGTTTGTATCATTGCCGGTTAGTGTATTCATCAGAACAAAAATATAGAAAAAAACCTTTCAAAGACAAGCTTTTATACAAATGCACTAGAAAGGCAAAATAACTTCTGTCATGTTTGATATAGGTTCTGTGAGTCACAGATTCAACTCTTACCGCACAAGATTTCTTATCTTGTATCCATGGCAAGCTTTTGAATCTGTTACCTAGATCAAACATGAATATAGCATTCTTCCTTTTTAGTGCATTTGTATAAAAGCTTGTCTTTACAGTTTTTTTTATACTTGTATAATAGCTTGTAATTGTAAAAATATCCGACAAAAAAGCCCCCATAAACCAATTTTGAATATAATCGGTCCATAATCACGAACGAAATCCATCTGCCATTTTCAAGCAGCCATAAATTTCTCAATTTTGATGGATGAATCAGAATTTCCGACCCAGAAAACCCCCAGGCAGGATTCGGATTATAATTACAAAACTCGTTCGCTATATTGGATCCACCATCTTGAATTTCCCAATTTTAACGAAATAATCATAATCTTCGCCCCAAAAACCCCCAGATAGCAATTTTGAATAGAATCGAATTATCAGAACAAAGCTCGCCATTTTGTGTTTTTCTCTAACAAAAATTTGAAAATGCATGGTCACCAGAAATATGTACAGTGTGTGCATAAACAAGTCATACAGCAGTTATAGGCTATTGAGAGTCAGGCTTGTCAATCTTGATTATCGACTTTGACAAGTAGTCATAATCAGTAGCGGCGTTAGGGTAGGGCGCAAATGTATCAAATTGATGTCATTAGCGCATCTCACAATCAACAGATATAGATCTCAGTAAACGCACAGAAATGTTGAAAGAATGCTGCACTTTCTTCTAAGAATATAAAATCGTCATTTTAACTGCAGAGGAATTGGCTGAAGAACTAGAAATTGAACCTAAGCCTGGACTTAAGCTTAGTGCCACATGGAGAATTTAATTTGTTGAGCGTCAAGTTGGTGAAACTGACCGCGACGTGCCTATAACTTCTACAGAAAATAATTAGGTTTGATTTTTCATTAATTTCAGTTAATGAAATACAGGGTTGGGCAAAAGTATGGAACCAGGTGAATATCTCGGTAACCGAATATATGTACAGGGTGATTTCAAAACGTGGTGGATTTAAAAATGTTATCGTCGATGTTGCCACTTTTTCAGTTATTCCAGAGTTATTATTAACTTCCTTATTTTGAATAGATCACCCTGTATTTTATTGAATTTTCAGATTCTCCCTGAAAAGCTGATTTCATCGATTCATCAAACTTGGGGTCTAGCAAGAATGATTACTGAGATAACGGGTGTTCAAAATCGAGATTTTTCAACTTTTGGATTTTTTGTGTAGAAACTATTCATTATTTACATGTCCCTACGTCAACTTTTGATTTACTATCTATACCGACGTTTAATTGAAACAAATACATGGTGGTTCAAGATTCAGAAATCTGATCACCCTGTATCTGTTCCCATTAAATACCAATAGATAATAAAAACTCTGCTCTGTCAGGGATTCGAACCTATAGCGACTTTGCAATGTTCTGTGTACTAGTAAAGTGCCTCAACCACTGCGCTATTTCGCCGTCAATTTTCTTATAATTATCTGCATTGAATTTTCATCTTTTCAGTTTTTACTGCTTTACATTTCATGGTTTTATCTACATGAAATTATCAAAAACCTGATGTGTGTTCAGACAGACTGAACACAGTTCATCTCAACCCAATGTGTCGGTCACTTCATGAGGTTGATAATATTGTCAATAATCTTGTAGTGAAGTTTCCTCAGACAGTTTCAACACAAAAAACAACAATTTTGTTTTCTGGAAGACCATATTATTTGACTAAAATAACAAACCATTACCTTTTTTTCAACTTTCAACGAGTTTCGCGCGTTTTTAGCCACAGAACATCAACATACTGTTACCAACATTCACCAAATCCATTTATTACCATGTACCCAGATTTTTCTCTAACGACATCGATACTGAATAAACTTCCAGAATTTATCGTTCAAATTGTCGTTGGTCAATGTATGGTTAAGGTAGCGATATCGTATTTTAGCGATAAGTTACTTTATAGACCCTTAGACACACAAACGCCGGGACAATTTTACCCTTGTGATAATTCAATATTGTTAAATATTTATTGACCTTCGTACATTTGTTTCTCATCCTCAATACAAGGTTCACTATGTAAGGTTTTTCCCAGTTTATTCAAAATATGTCCCAATGTATATTTTGTAAACGTTTTTGAATAAACCTATATTATTATTATTATTATTATTATTATGATTTGAATTTATGTAATTCCAGTCACGACCCTGCGGCCTCCGACGCCACGCAGAGTCGTGCTGGATAAAATCCAGTGACTACTCCCCACAGCCTGTGAGGTGAATAATCACTGGGACCATGAACCGTGTGCCCTAAGTAAACGCAATGATCCAAGTATGACGGCCTTCTGCATTCCACCAGCCAGAATGTGTGCTTTATCGCTGCACGCTGGGATTTTCTGGATTTCCGAGAGCAGCGTGTGTCGTGTGCCTCCTAGGGAGCCGATTATCAGGATGACCAATTCCACAGAATGGTCTGGATAGAGCCTGCGGAGTTCGAAGAGAAGATCTCGATATTTAGTCCGTTTCTCCTCCTCCTTCAAAACGATGTTCGGTTCGGCTGGCGACGAAAACTCGATCACGAACATCGCTTTGGTTTGATGGTCGAGGAGGACTACATCAGGCTTGTTAGCTTGTATTTGCCTGAGGGTGGGGAATGAGAAGTTCCAATAAATTCGGCACCTCTCATTCTCCACAACGGACTCAATATCCCCCGGAGCATAGGGCAGCACTGGGGTCTCGTTTATTCCGTACGAGTGCCTCAGGTGATAATAGAGCACTCGCAATGCCGCATTGTGTCTATGGATATAGGCCGAGACTGCATACAGTGCAAGAAGACAGCAGGTGCATAATTGTCTCGGGCGCCCTGCGGCAGGCCCTGCAATTTGTGTCAGGGACCTCCATACCCATGACACGGCTACGGTAGACGAGAGTGTTAAAAACCCCATCCTGGCATGCCATGATAAACCCCTCTGTTTCCGATTTAAGACCGCCTGACTTGAGAAAAGCGAAAGTCAGTTCTTTGGATAAGCCCCGGTCTCCAATGGTCTTGAAGTAGACCGAATGCATGGGCTTATCCATGTGAAGCTGCAGGAGCTTTCTCACTTCTGCAGCTTTGATGCGGGCTTTTCCCCGAGCAGGCTCTAGCTCAGTAACTGAGTCCTGAGCACCGCGCTCGGAGTCGAAAATCAGAGACAATTCATCGGCTGCTCGACGTGCTGCCCTGAAAAGAAAAGCTCCTACCCCTGCCTCTTCATGGGTTTTAACCATTTGCAGGAGGGGATCCGAACTCCTGATGACTTTGCAGGCGCCATCCAGAACCATTCTGTTATGGAGATACTCCAAGCTCAAGAGTCCACGGCCACCCTGGTCTCTAGGTATGTATAACCGTGGAACGGACGAATTCGGATGCAGACTCCTATGGAGATGCATCATCTTGCGAGTACTTACGTCAAGTTGTCGCAGCTCGACTTGAGTCCACTTTATCACTCCATTATTATTATTATTATTATTATTATTATTATTGAATGAAAGCTTGTAAAAAATCACCAACCTTATCTTCGTCCATCTCCCCGTACAAATGCGCCACCCACCCCTGCAAAAACTTGAACAGTTCGTCCACCCTGTTCTTGGGGATGCTGAACCAGTATTCGGGCCGCATCTTCTTCTTGCCGTAGGACATCAGCGGCGTGGATTTGGGAATGGGCTTGTTCAGAGGCTTGCCCATTCTCAGGCGCAGGTACAATGGCGGGTCTTCACAAGACCTCGCCGGTCTCGGAATTAGTTCTGAAAAAAATAGGGAAGGGTTTGGCATTAAGGTGGCTGATCAACTCATGTCTGCCTATTCACAAGAAATACATCAAAGTTGCTCAGAATTGGGAAAATGTAGGAGACTGGATTTGATATCTGAAGTCTCAATTATTTCAAATACAGGGATGAATATACAGGGTGATCCACGATGGATGGCCTATTAGAAGTATCTGGAGAACGAGAAGACATAACATTCTGAAAATTGGGATGCTTTGATAATTGAACATTCTCTATCCGTCTAAAATATTTTCATCGGTAAAGTGTTGCCACTTCTATCAGAAACAACGAAACAACTAGCAACTTCGGTATTATAAATGGAGCACCCTGTATTTTATTGCATTTTTAGATTCTTCCTGAAGAGCTGATTTCATCAATGCATCACACTTGGGGTCTAGTAGGAATGATTACAGAGATAAAGGGTGTTCAAAACCAAGATTTTTCAATTTTAGTATTTTTTTGTGTCGAAACTATTCATTGTCGATCAAAATGGCTTACATGTCCCTATCTTAAATTCGATTCACTATCTACTGACATTTAATTGGAACAGATACTGGGTGATCAGAATTCTAAATCTTGAAGCACTCTGGATTTTTTCCAATTAAATTCCAGTAGATAGTGAATCAAAAGTTAAGATAGGGACATGTAAGCCGTTTTGAACGATAATGAATAGTTTCGACACAATAAAATCCTAAAATTGAAAAATCTCGATTTTGAACACCCTATATCTCTGTAATCATTCCTGCTAGACCCCAAGTGTGATGCATTGATGAAATCAGCTCTTAAGGAAGAATCTAAAAATGCAATAAAATACAGGGTGGTCCATTTGAAATAACGAAGTTGCTAGTTGTTTCTGATAGAAGTGGCAACACTGTATCGAAGTAAATATTTTAGACGGATAGAGAATGTTCAATTATCGAAGCATCCCAATTTTATGAATGTTCTGTCTTTTCGTTCTCCAGATACTTCTAATAGGCCACCGTGGATCACCCTGTATATCCTTTATTAATTGGATGAATATTAAATATATGACACATCCGATATACATACATATGATATTTTCAATTTTTGAATAAACTTCTTGAACCCCCCAATTTTTTAGTTCGATTTATTGAATATGATCTAGAAATATTATGAAAAATCCAGTTTGGATTGAAATTTAAAAACTATGCAATTCTCTGTTATAGGATTTAACTCAAAATACAGGATTTTTTTTTCAATTTCCATCAAGAAATATATCGTCTACAATCAAATTGAACCTTCACAGTTGGTACAGGGTATCTCAATAATTATTTTCACCACTTTCCGTTGCTAATTATTTGGTTATATTGAAGAAGAAAAACCGGGACACACACACAAAAATAGTAAGTGGGAAAGTGATCTCATAATCAATGATATACCCTGTAGATAACGTCGTAATAATGTGTAGTCAAGTGTAGAATGTAGAGGGTGCCCATAAATGATTGTTACATCATAAGAGCCATTAGAATATGTGGTACCTTTCACATACTTCACGTCAGGTATGGAATACGAATGTTAGATTTACTAGTGCTAGTGAAAGACGGTAAATGAAGAAATTATTTCAACGGCTGCTACGATGTAACGATCTTTTATAGAAACCCTGAATTAGAAAAACTATAGAAAAAAGTGCAAGGCATGCAAAACCTACCAAAAGAATCTAGCCCATGATAAGGGGAGCGTACTGCAGCAATTAACAGAAAAACAAAATGAACTAGTATTACCATGTAGTGGAAAATTATATGTTTGAGACGATAATGTTGCTCATCCTTCTTGAAAAAAACATGTTACTATCAAATGAATCTGTCATCTGAATTGTGAAATGCAATGATAATGAATGTGTAAATCTACATCGTATCATGTAACTATGAAATCTATCGCTAAATGAGTGCAGTGAATCTGGATGAAAATTCTAAAATACTTATACAATACAATCACAGCTTATTAAAGCTACATAATTAAGTAATTAACAAATTAAAACAGATGTATGGAATTAATGAATAGTAATTTTGTACCAGTATAAAAATGTACTTAAATGTGTTACTCCCCTTTATCCTAGTGATTCTCAAAACATATTTGGGTCATTCAAAAACTTTTCTGGAACATTTTTTTACGAATTTGTGCTCACTTTTCCTATATATCAACAATTTACAGGGTGGCTCAGATGAAATGATCTATATTTTTTCCATAATTCGACGTCAATTTGAATTCAAAAATATATATCATTCATATATTATTATCGAATAAAATTTAGATCATTTCATTGTCTCAGCCACCCTGTATTTTGTTACCATGAAGAAAAAGTGAGCACAGATTTAAAAAATTCGTGAAAAATTATACCAGAAATGTTTTTGAATGGCCAAAATATGTTGAGGATTACGGGGATAAGGGGGGTGACACATTGGTACACCCTGTACTACAAAAAATTGAATGTTCTGTCATTATGGTATGTGTCTAATACTATGGAATAAGTCACTTACTAAGCAGTATTGCAAAAATATGGGGCAGTTAACAAGTTTGAATACTTTCAAATGGTTTCCTATCAAGAGGAACAGATTTAATTTTCGTTGCTAACTTTTCATTCACATTGTTCTTGTCAAACATACACAGAATTCTATAGTTATTTGTTTACATTGATTATTATTTTCGAATTTATTATCAGATGAAGATAGAACATGACGCTCGTGGAAATGCTTAAAAAGTGTGCTATAAAACTACTTATATTAGCTACCTTTTGTTCCTCTTGAATAGTTATTCAGTTTTGAAATACTGGTAAATATTTCTGAATTGGATACTTCTATAATAAAAAGAAGATACATCTAGTGTTCCTTCATGATGAACATATTCACAATATTTTCCCAGTGGGTAATTGTCGATTAGGTTTAAATATGTGCAGGGCGATTCACTATATTTCAACTACCTTTTCAACTCTTGTTCAAATGCTATAAAAAGTTGTAGGGTTTAGTTTCTATTTAAGCTGAAACATCGTGTATCTCTTTCAATATAAAAGTTGATGGGGTATCCAAATTAATAAATTCAACCCGCACCCGACTGGAGAAGTTCTGGAAACGCCAGTATTTCAAAATCACCTTGTACACATATATATATCAATAACATTGTGAATTATTATTCGTTCATGCACATTTTGGAGATCAGCAGATCTTTGCTAGAGTTCCCTCACAGATTTGACGATTTTGTTTTGACGTTACCATTATTGTATATTTGACAAGCACTGACAGTTTTACACATAACCACATATTATCGGTAAATTGAACTTTGCCTTTCGGATTTTCATGTGAGGATATATTTGTACTTGTATGTGTAAGCATTCATCAACGTACATGCCATGTTTCGACTGTTTTGAATTGAGAACCAATAATTGGGAATAGTATATTATGTAACAAGTGTTATAAACGTCCTGTTAGTAATGAGGATTTTTAAGCACTAGCCCATCAGGAACCAGTATTTAGTTAAAATAGAAGATAATAAAATATCAAATCATGGAAACCATCCATATTTCTCGAAGCGGTCCGATTGATTTTTATAAGAAAAATAAATAAAAGTCCCAAAGTCTGTTGACCACAAAGAAATTATTTAATATAGGTAGTGTAACTAGTTTCGGCCACAGGCCATCATCAGACACAAAAATGATGTATTCAGAAGAGCAATGAAATGAAATGAAATCAAAAGCCTAGGTCAAATTAAAAAAAGTACTGATATTTTGAAATTCGACCTAGACTGTGTAAGTCATGAAATTCTGTTGCAAAAGCTTCTTCATTACGGTATTCGTGGTACATCTTTAGACTGGTTCAGATCTTATCTCACTGACAGGAATCAAAGAGTATCATTGTCAAAAAAGACATTCGATAAAGGTAAGGGGGTCCCTCAGGGGTCAGTTCTAGGCCCAATTCTCTTCTTGATTTATATCAACGATATGGTTAGTCTAGATATTTCTGGGCACCTAACTTCATTTGCAGATGATACCACGATTCTCTGGCATAACGAAGATCGAGCTAGTTTGGCTCAGTCTATTTCAGTGGACGTTGAAAAAATTAAAAGTTGGTGTGAAGCTAATATGCTAACTCTTGTTTCTAAAACAAATTTAGTGACATTCAAGTCTGAGGTTGAACAAACTACGCTAGGAGATCAACTCATTGAGAGTAAGTCTGTCACGAAATTTCTTGGTGTTCACATAGATAGCAATTTGAAGTTTGACCATCATATATCAGCTCTAAAAAAAAATATCCTCCGGTTGCTTCGCAATCAATATGATATCCCGTGAACTCGGATTACAAGCTTCAATATCGGCATACTACTCACTTATTGAATCGCATCTGAGGTATGGAATTTCATTCTGGGGATGTAGCTGTCATGGTCTCTTAAATAGTGTTTTCGTCCTTCAAAAACGAGCTCTGAGATTTGTATTCAAACTCAAGACGCGTGACTCATGCAGGCCAATTTTTCGTAATAATAAGATATTGACGGTCTTTGAAATTTTTGTTTTAGAAACAATCTGTCTGCTTCACAAATATAGAGGAAATTTCATGAACACAAACATAGACAAGAATACGCGTAGTAAAAGGAACCTTGCTCTTTCTTTGCCTAATTCATCTTTAACGAGACAATCCTTGATTTATAGGAGTAAAAAGATTTACAATCATTCACCAGATTATATATCTATAATCAATGATTTGAAACACTTCCGGAAATCTGTCAAAGATATGTTAGTGGGAAAATGCTCGTATAGTGACGAATACTTAGCCTACAAATTCTAGTCCTTCTATAATATGTGAGAATTATTAGAGATTCATATTATTGATTTCAAAGAGACATGTTCTTTGTAATAATGAACTATGTTATTTTATATACAGTATGATGCAAATGTATGGAATAAATTCATTATTTCAGAAATGGGCGACATTTGGAAAAATTCCAAAAACACGTGAGGTTTCATTTTTGAGGCCTCTTCTCATGATATCCATACGTCACCGGTGATGGAGTAATGACGAAATGAACGATTTTTTCAAATGAAAACAGGGGTCATGTGACACCTCGTTGGAAAGGTCTACTGATCGTCTATTCAACAGTCAACATTTTGCATAAGAAAATTGAAATTATTATTTGATTAACTGAATCTTGCAGAGGTCTGCTACTGAGAATTGAACAACGAAGGGTCGTCTATTTAAAAAATACATCAATTAATAAAGTTCTGCAGTCTATTTTTTGGATTTTTTCGGAAGTCGTCTTGTTTTGAAATGAATTTATTCCATACATTTGCATCATACTGTATATATATATATTTTAGTTCTATGTTATTTTTATATATTCCTCTTTTATTTTATTTTATTCATTTATATTTTGCAATAAATGTTTCGTTTGATATTTTGTCGACAAAATGTGTTCATTTTAGACAATAAAGCTTATCTATCTGATTTTTTTTGCTCTAAATATGTATTGCTGAGGTATTTCTGAAAGTTCTGAATACATCATTTTTGTGTCTGATGATGGCCTGTGGCCGAAACTAGCGACTTTGGGACTTTTATTGCTTTTTCTTATAATAATAAAATATCACAAGTGTTTCCTTCCTACAGTTATTGCTTTAAAACTGGTTAGACACCATACATAAATGATGGACTGAGGCTGTATCCATTCCTGAACGTGTGAAGAAAGGATGATACAAAAAGCATATTCATGTCTTTGTTTTGCAAATCATATGTGGTTATGACTGACTGTCGTCAAATCCATTGAGGAACTTCAATCTAGCCCGATGACATCAACAAGATATAGATTATTTAAAATCAACTATTAGCAAACATACAAAAATAAGGCTACTTACTGTCGAACGAAACAAACAATTCGGGCATATCCTCGACGGATACCATAGATCTGTAGTCCAACTTGGGCTGGGGCGCTTTCGATTTTGAGCCGCCCTCTGTCGGTTGTCTGATGAACGTACCAACTGAAGACCGTCTGAAATGAAATATCAAGTAGAATTATATGAAATAGTGGAAAAGAGTTAGAGTTGCCTACATTCGGGGGCATTCACATTCACAGATGCAATAGGGAAATAATATGGAAATAACAGTGGAAGCACATGGCATACTGGGATCCTGGTACGCTATAACGAATAAAAGCAAAATTGTGTTGAGTTTAGGAATTGTTTACATTATGTGTGTTGTGTATGGTGTAATTGGCGTAAAAATGTTTGTATAGACGACTGAGAGGATTTCCAAACTCATAGACTCTATTTCAGACGATAAAATTCGAACGAGTTTTGACTCTTCATCAAGCAATATAATTGATAATCAAACTAGAATTCAGCAACAAGAAATAGATAAGACTTTCTTCACTGAATGATAAATAACATATCATACTGCAATTTCATGATGATGTAAAGTTTCAATGTCACATTCTTGATTAGGAACAGTTGTATCCTTGAACTTGCAATAATTGATAAGGCATCCGAAAGAGGAACAAAAACCAAATTATGATTCATTAGAGATATTTTGCTAGCTAGAAACTAGCCAATCCAATTATCCGATCCATTATTAGTACTATTAGTATTGTTAAGTTGCGATTATGATAAGCTGCGAGTTGATTTACTGGAATCCTGAAAAGAACATACAAGATTTTACCATAAAGACTATATTCAAAAAGGATATAACTTTGAATTTTGAAACGTACATTATGATGGTGGACGTAATGACATTGAATTGTTTGATAAGACATTCTTCTCATCTTGATTTGAAAAATACGTAACAATATTCCTCTCACTCCCTTGGTCAGAAAGTGGAAGTTAAAAATTTTACGAAAATAACTATTTTTCATCATTCTAGCGAAATGTTCGATATGAATACAAGTTGAGGTTAAAAAGGATTTATTTTTGTAAACATAAGAGCTAGGATAAGGGCGAAAAAAAAAGTTTCATATGTTAACATGTACGCTATAACAAGCTTCGTTTTTGAGTAACATGGTATTGATGTTAGAAGTATTGATTGGTTTTTCTCATGATGACCCTGCATAAGCTTTCATGTGGAAAAATTCAGTATGGTTTGATGGAAAGAATATATTGTCAACATATCTGAACAACCATACAAAACCTATAAAATCATTCGGAAATCCCCTCACACTGATAGTGCTAGTGTGCTACACACATTACAACAACGGGCCCACCAAAACGCACGAGTTCGTTTGCCCCAAACATACAGTATGACCCATTTGAAAGCCGGCCAGCCTCATAAAATTTTTATTCATGAAGCGATTTTCACGATTTTTTTTAAATATAGAAGGGAGAAAAGTTAATTTTGGTGCTAAGCGAGTCCATTTTTTTTTGGAAACCAAGGCCTACTAGATCACATCCAGGGGCTGAAAAATCCAGAATCCATATTAGCGATTTTTTTCTAAAAAAATCGCTAATATGGGTTCTGGACTTCTCAGCCTCTGAATGTGATCTAGTAGGCCTAGGTATTTCACAGAAATGGACGCCGCTTAGCTCAAAATCCGCCTTTTCCCACTCTTCATTAAAAAAATGTGAAAATCGCTCCATAAATGGAGAATGTATGAGGGTGGCCCGCTTTCAAATGGGTCACTCTGTATGTATAGGTGATTCCTAAAGACCAATTAGAACGATCCAAAAAGCGCTTGCGAGCTGGCGAGAATTTTTTGTCTCTTTCTCTTTTCGCTTACCAGCGATGAGCAAGCAATTCTCTCTTCATAGAAACAATTTGTAGTAAGCCCTTGGTACAGGGTGAAAACCGCAAATCGATATCTATCTTTATTTCAGAGCTACAAGGTGTTTTTCAAAAATGTAACTTTTTAAAAAGTGGATGAAACTCTTTTTTTGTCAAAAATTCTTCGTTTTCATGAGAAAATTTTCGAAACATTGTGTTTGTCATGAAAATTGATCCTCAGGCACTAAAATCAGTCATCGTATACCTATTTGCAAAATAGAACTTTTCATTCAAGAAGAACAAGTTATATTAATTTTTATAACAAACTCAATGCTTTGCAATTATTTCCATAGGAATAGACAAAAAAAATATCTGTAGCCACTTTTCAAACATGCCCATTTTCGAAGAACACCTTGTAACTCCGAAACGAAGACAGATATCGATATGCAGATTTCACCATTGAGTTTTGCATGAGAATCGACCATCGACCCTCAGTTTTCTTCCAGGAATATATATTTATCAATTTTACTCTCAAGTAATTTTCCGAATAATGTACTTTCTATGAAGATTCATTTAGGCTGAGTTAGGTTTGATTGTTTAGAAAAAGTAGTCTTTTTTGTTATGCAGAAAAGATATTTTCCTTCCTTAAATTGAAGATATTTCAGATCTGTCAACCACTAACTAATCATGACAGAAATAAATTATGTTTCCTATAATGTGAAACTGTTCGTTATTGAAATGTACCACCAATATCAGTGATTTGAATCCACCGCCATAACCCAAATAGTTCTGATTGGTCATTAAGAATAGCCTATACATACAGTGTTTTCAGAAAGTTGACATGATCGGAAAAATTTTTAATAATAATTTGTTTTGGAATTCGACTTAGTTGTTAAGTTTTGATTTAAGAACATGTCAAGTTTTAGCTTTTCTCGAACTAATCTCTGACAAAAGGCTTATTTGTTTCAATTTCATTGAAGATTATTGAGAAAAGTTATTTCTATTCCGATTTTGCACATGTGCCTGAAATTTGAATGTTCTATTGCAACTTCTGGATTTTGATATTTTTTATTTCTGCAAAATTTCTGAAATATTTAGAAAATTGTAACTTCGACAAGACTGTTTCAAACCACTAACTTCAAATTACTAGGTGATTATTGACAAAAATGTGAATTTGTTTTTAAAATTAAATTAAAATGCTTTTTCAGTTTTAGAATTATGCCAAAATCATCAATCAAAATCTATCAAAATTGTTTACCTATCTAACTAAAGTTTAGAACAGTTTTATAGATGTTAATTTTTTTCTCAATATCACAGAACCTTCGTGGAAATTGAAAACTATAAAAAATACTGAAGTTGCAATAGCACGTTCTAATTTGAGATATATGTGTACGTTTTGACATGTAGCGAATGTCACGTGACCACAACCGGCCATTTTTCATCTTTTTCAAAGCGAAATTTGACGCCCAAGTCGAATTTAAAAACAAATAACTAACAAAAATGTTTCGCATATGATACCAACTTCATCAAAGAGACTGCATGTTCGAGCAATACTAATGAGGAAGTTTCCAATATTGAGGTTTTTTTCTCACTGTGAAGTTTGTTAATATTGTTCTAAAAATTGTTCTAAAATTGTTCTATACGTCTTTTTTCTTTTCTTCGTAAAATTAACTTTCACTTCAGAAAAAAATAAATGAAAAACACACACATTCACACAGAGATGGAATACGATTCTCTTTGTCAATACGACGTTGCCAGCATCATCAATATGTCTAGAATTCCGGAAATTGCTCTTTGAATAAATTATAACAATATCCTGATAGCAATGAGGTATAATAGGTTTTTTGATTCTACTCATAATTCTACGATTATAATGAATAATTTTCAATTCGTGGCGCGGAGTTGAGCCACAGGCGAAAGTTTTTGTTGTTCAAGGTCAACCGCCTTTGAACCGATCGTTAGGTTCAAACCCAGTATGTTTTATTCACCTGGAAATTTAAATTTCTTGAAGGCAAATAAATTGTTACTTAAATTACTATACTGTTGATGTTTTTTTCAATTTTTTCACTCCAAGACCCTAAATCGCGACATAATTGACTGCCGCGGCTGATATTGAGCGAGGCTCGGAAGTCAGCCAAGGCAGTCAATCTACTTTGCTGCCGTGTGAAACATATATTTTTTTCTCAAAATGTTATAAAACATTTTGTCATTTTTGTGTTCACTCAATGACAATGTCAATTTTGATTACCAATTTCATTCAAAATACTTGGAAAGTTGCATAGAAACAAACTTTTTCTGCCTAGGCAGAAAAAGTACACCTTAGCTGATCGTTAAGTGTCATAGAAAAGACACTTTCTATGCCATTTGGAGAAAGAATACTTTTCTGAAAAAGCAAGTTTGAGAAAAAATTAAAAAAAAAACACCATCAGTTATTTGTTTACAATTTTGGTTGTCATGCTTTCAAATGTTAACTTACCGTTTTGTCACTGGAAAAGTTTGGGACAAACTTGTTTCGCTGTCATAATAACAAAATCACAGCGACTTACGGGATTTTATATACATTAATTAAATTGTCAAAATGAAAAACAAACTTGCATGCTGCAGTTTTGACATTTTTCAGTTTTTAGGAAGAAAAAGATTAGATACTAGTTAGGTTGGATTAGGGTCCCTTGATGTAAATTGACGTATTTGTCATCTTGACAGGGTACGGACAGATCCTCGTCTCCTCTCACTCTGAAGTGTTTGTGAAACAGATATATAGTTCCATCTTTATTCATTTCTGGGGATAAACACTAGATTTCTGACATTTGTTGTTTTTTAGGTTATATATTGACGACATTGGCGAATCATACGATATTTCCACATGTAATTTCTCATTCAACTCTACATTTTATATCCAAATGATGATGATAATTTCCGAGTTTTTCATTTTTCCACTCCAGCATAATCTTTGGGAGGCAGTGAGAAATTTTTTTTGAAAGTTTAATACGTTTTTCCAAATGAGACTGTTCTTAGGCAGTACCTATCAATAAATGTATTTTGATTTCAGACTAAGCCATATGTGCATGTGTGCTGTATATACTCATGTTGGGAATCATTTTTGCAGTTTTTCACGAACACTCAAAATTTCCTGAATGTAGGTATAATTTTTCAAATGGTAGGGCATATGCCTCTTCTTTTAATCCTCCATTTTAATCAAAACAGTTCCTACTAAAATGCATTCAAAAACTTGTGGAGTGGATAATTCTGGGCACAATGAGAAATTATAATATCGATGGCCTAGAATCAATACCTCGTAAGTGAAAATGTCAAAAGTTTTCAGTATGGACAAAAAACTTCGTATTTACGAGTTATTGCATTCAAGAATCGACCACGAGGTATTGTCACGTGACGAATTCATTGCTTTTCATTGGTCTGGCGTGTAAGAGCTATTGTCAGTAGGTTGGAGGGAACAATTACAAGCGGATAATACCAAAACCCAGTTTTGTGAAAAATGTGGATTTACGAGGTATTGATTCTAGGCCATCGATATGTGATTTTATATCAGGTTTACCTCGAATATTTTGCTGATGTATTTACCAATTTTTCCCATTCTGTCACGTCACTTTCCATGTTCTAATAAGTTCATTTGCATTTGATGGAAAGCTGACAAATTCTAATTTGCAATCCAACTGATTGATACAGCCTAACGCAGCACATTTTACCATCCTTCCAAAACAGAATTGAATGATGTCATATTAAGATAAAGTATGGAATACAAATTTTGTAAGATCTCTTTTAACGTCTATGAATGTGACGTGACAGCAATTTCATGTCAGGGACGCCAATACTCGATCTGTCTGTACCCTGTTAGATGACAAATACGTCAGTTTGCATCAAGAGACCCTAGGTTGGATGGAAATAAGAGTAATTTCGTGAATCTCAATATTAATTTTGATTGAAACATTCGCCTGGAGGGGAGGGGTAATTACCCCTATTAACCCTCTCCTTGTATATGCGCCTGGCGTAGACATAAAACTGATAGGATTTCCGAAATCTATTTCATGAAAATTCACCTGAAGGAAACTTCCCCATTCGTGCCATAACTATGACAGGCCCACCGAAAAACCACCAGCACACACACACAAACACACGTACCCCACGGCGCCGCCCACCGACGCTCCCATCGCACCCACCGTCGCGCCCATCGCCCCCACCGACGCGCCAACCTGCGCGCCCATCGCCCCCACCGAGCTGATGATGTTCGTGGGAAAGAAGCTGCCCGTCGAGGAGGTGGCCGAGTCTGGGCGCGGCGAGTCGGTGAGGTTGCTGCCCGCCGAGTGGGGGCCGCCGCTGGCGCTGCCCGAGCCGCTGTCCTCGGAGGGCGTCTTGTGGAAGAGGCCCGCCCCGAAATCGGCCAGGTGGAGGGGAGAGCTGGGGTGGGGCGGGGCGAGCGTTAAGGGGTCGGGGCAGAACGTTAGTAGTGTTAGTTCATCGGGGCGGAACGAGATGGCGAAAGGGTTCTCAACAATGGCGCAGGGATATTGTTTCCGCGAGGCGGCACTAGTGTGGTTGGATGTATATCTAATAATACCTATATGGATGAAGGATAACATATGAATCGATAGCGACGTCGATAAACAAGCGCCAGTCTGAATGGGAGACCCCGCTTCGAGTTGCCAACCCAAGAATCTCTACCATTGTAGAAGCAATATAATGGAAGTTTGATTACTCAAATGGCATTATTTTGATGAAATCTCAGTGTCGAAGCCTACTCAGCTCACTAATAGAAGTTATTCAGAAGAAAAATACTACTCAGCTAACTAAAATGGCATTTAGCGTAGATTTCAATGCAAACAAAACACAAGCATGCCTTTTCTCTAGAAAAGCCGATCTCACTGTGCCCAACATAAGCTTTTCAGGAGTCACCATACCTTTGAAGACATCCATTTCGATGCTTGGTATTACTATCAGCAATAACCTTTCTTGGGAAAATCACGTGAGATTAATTGCTAAAAGTGCATCCCAAAAACTTGGTTTTCTTTTTCGGGCCAGGAGCTATTTCACTTCTAGTCAGCTGCTTTTGATCTATAAGGCACAGATCCGACCTGTCCTGGAATACTGTTCCCATATTTGGGGTGCAGCACCCAAACATACCCTGAAACTGTTGGATTCTATCCAAAGAAACACAATTCGTCTCGTGGGTGATGCCTCGCTCACAAACTCACTAACTTCTCTGGAACACCGTAGAAAAGTTGGAGATCTGGCGCTATTTTATAGATATTTTCATGGACGATGCTCTTCTGCAATATCAACAATTGTTCCTTCCTTGGCAGTCCCCGCGAGATTAACCCGTCGAGTTGATGCTTCGCACCCTTTCTAGGCCACTTTGGAGACCTGCAGAACATCTCTTTCTAAAGACTCGTTCATCCAACGAACAGCGAGGCTCTGGAACACATTTCCGAGGGAGGTGTTCTCCGAGGCATATAACCTCCAGAAATTTAAGAAGAACACCAATTCCTGCCTAATTTCCCTTGGTTCTCACGATGTTCTCTGAACATTACAGGATATTCCTTTTAGTGGGAACCAGAACATAAAAAAAAAGATGTGTACCACGCTAAATGATCGAATAATCACGGATTGACGATCTGTGATTCATTCAAAAAAATTAAACACGTTACCATGGCAACACAATTTCTTAAACACATTACATGGCAACACAGTTTTTTAAACACAACTTCAGTCGTTTGAGTCCTGTCCGGCCTGTCAATTGTCAATTGTAGGAACTGTCGACTGTCATTTTTGAATTTTGTTGCAATTTGCAATCAGTGACAATCAGAATTATTCAAACAATTGCTGTTTGGATCAGAATTCTTCATTAAAAATATATGCGGAATGTAGACGGAAGTGAAATCGGAGATGATGTTTTAGGTAGGTACTTGCATATTGCCAAGAACTCTGTGTAAAAATGAAGCTCTCATCTTTGTGGGCACTTTGATCTATGCTAAGCATGACAATATACAAGTAAGAACATTTATGTAAGCAAAATATATGCAATCAGAATATGGATACAAACCTGAGAAATCGAAAACTTTGACACCACATCGAATCTTCTACGTCAGGTCAGAAGAAAACTTCTTAATCACATCGGTTCCTTGATCATTTTTCGAAGTTTGACGTGATTCGAACTCACTGATAGTGATTTATGGATATACCATTTTCTACTCGTGACACTATTGAAAGTATTGACATTTCAGTATTGACGTACCACAGATGCACCAACATGATTATCAACCAGTCAGATGTGAAGTTCACAGAAACTTATTTTTCTTCTGAATAACTTTCATTAAAAAGCCGAGTAGACTCCTACAATCGGATTTCATCAAAATGGAGCCATTTGAGTAATCAAACTTCCATATTGTTGCTTCTACATTGGTAGAGATTTTTAGGTCATCAACTTGGAGTAATGTCTCCCATTGAGAAGCGACATCGTTTCGGACACATGTAACATCTATATGCTTCCCCATAAACGTAGGATTAATATTGAAAATCTAGCAAAAGCCGACGTATAAGATGGAGGTAGATAGTATGACCGTTTCATCAAAGCACAGCCAGAGCTGCTTCATAACATGACAATATGTGTTAATAATATGAGAAGATGAACTGAAAATATATCGAATATCCCATATTTTTTAGACAGGCCAGCTAGGTTTATGAATCTGAGTCTACCTAATTAATACACTCTTACCTAATAGCTATGATACATCGACGGCAAAAAAACGAAAGAGTTGGTTAACTATACATATAATATTCCACTTTGCTCATTTTTTGTATATTATAGTGAAAAATAGGTAATTCATCTCAAAACTCACATACTTCCAGAGTTCCACTAAAAATGAATATTCCTTGACAAAGAAGGTTAGTACTTTGGAATACTTTTTTTATGCAGAGAGAGCATACATCACCAAGATTAATGAACACAAGTACCTACTACTTTGGTAAATATAACAAAATTTTATAGGTTACGAGTATTATCGGGAAAAGATAGACGTAATCCATATGGTATATGGGTTTGGAGGTTACAATGTAGCTATCTGTATTCTGTTCTCATTTCAGACATTCATATTGAAGAACACAAATTCATAGTACAATGTTGATGCTGGTGTTTTGTGAACAAATTATGTCATTACTAAATAACCCTCCAACCACACCAGTGCCATCTGTTTCAAACTTTCCTGATTACTTGCCATTCTCCATAATACTTTTTTGGGTCATAACATTTTTGCGAACAACCTACTTGATCATGGTTTACAAAATAGAGGTGAAAAAATATTTGGCCATATGTTTCCAATATGAATCAGTAGTATTCAAATTATTATTTTGAGTGACAAATCATCTAATAATATCTGAAAGAGTGATAACAATCGATCATCATTCCAATAAGGCAGAGAAGGTATGAGGCCTGAATTTTATATGTTCATATTGTTCTGAAAGTGGCTATTCATAATTCCATCGAAAATTTAATATTGGATCCATAGAAATTCAATAATCAAGAAGAATCTCATATAGACTCTGATGACTCCTAAATGGATATCACCCTGGAATGACATCACAAGTGAACATTTTTCATATTCAAGCGTTTCTGCTCTTGCCTGTTGAAAATTATGCAGATATCTATGCTGGAAGTCGATTGAGTTTTAAACCAGGACCATCCTTATTTTTCAGTGGTCCCAAATGAATTTTCAGTGCAAAAAAATATAGTATAATTGTTTCTGCCACTGGTCATCAGACACAAATCAAGGACAAACTTCGTGAGTATAATTGTTTCTGCCACTGGTCATCAGACACAAATCAAGGACAAACTTTGTGAGTTCTATTCGTTTTTTATTGATGTAAGTGAGTTTGTTCACAAAGAAGAAAAAAGAGAGAGAAGACGTCCAATAAGTCACATTAGTCTCACAATACACAACACAGTTAAATTATTTGGTTATTTTTTAGTGTTGAAAAATGTAGTGGACTTACCTTGAAAACACCTTTGAGAAAACAGACGAGTGTTGAACTTCGGCAGCAGAATTTGGTTGACTAGGAGTTTTATCTTCATCTTTTTCACCACCCAACGTGGTTTCCACCCATGACAATGGATACGACAGTCTTTTTAACATCTGCAACAATCATTCATCATAGTAAAGATCAATGCAGAATATTTCCATGTTGGAAAAAAAATTCTCGAGATATTAAAGCAACATTCATGTGTTTCAAGAAAAAATTCAACTTGTACATTTGACAACAAGAGTTGAGCATAGAAGCCATTATCCCATGATTTTTTAACAAAATAGATTAATGAATTTGGGTTATTACCTTCAATAATGCAAATAAATATTGGTGTTTGTTCACTAATATGGAAAATGTCAAATATTATATTATTATTCCTCATACCAAAGTTTACTGGAAGTTATACAGGCAGACTGATAAAAACTGCCCCAAGCCATAGAGCAGCTATTAATTATCCGACTTTGAAAAACAAAAATGTGAATGGAATTGCTCCTTAGATACTATGAGTAGGTTATTTTTCCACTCTCAACTGTAACGTCAGCAACTGTCAACTGTTTCTTATTTATTTTTTCTGTTCAAGATTGATGATGTATGACAAGATGACTTTTGGACGAATACAATTTTGAGATGTATTAGTGAATGTGACAGTAAATGTCACTGAAATGAACGTCAGTATTTCATCAGACATTGAATACACAATTCACACCAACTGATTGCTCCGTCACTTCAATTGTGTGACCCACTTCTAATGGAACCGCCCCTGTATCTTATGTAATCCTTGGGTAAGGATCCTGAAATTTGCTGGAGCGAGAGATATACCAGAAATGCACTCTATGACCAAGTGGGGTCATCTTCAGTGATATACACTGCTCGCCAACAGCCATGAAACCACCCCAATTTCCGGAAAATTATATTAGGAGTCAGAATAGGTTGAAAATCACTTCGGATTCGGAACCAGGACGCCCAATTCTCTAACTATTCATAGTTTCCCTAGAAAATTTTCAGTTCAGAAAAATTAAATTTTGTCTCACTTCTCATGGAAGCACCCCCGTATCTCACGTAATTATTGAGGTAGGGTTCTGAAATTTGCAGGAGGAAGAGAAAGTCCAAAGATAAAGTCAATTACGTGAGATACGGGGGTGCTTCCATGAAAAATGCGACAAAATTTTATTTTTCCGAACTGAAAATTTTCCAGAAAAAATTTGAATAGTCAGTAAATTGGGCGTCCTGATTCCAAATCTGAAGTGATTTTTGACCTATTTTGACTCCTAATATCATTTTCTGGAAATTGGGGTAGTTTCATGGCTGTTGGCGAGCAGTGTATATCACTGAAGATGACCTCACTTGGTCATAGAGTGCATTTCTGGTATATCTCTCGTTCCAGCAAATTTCAGGATCCTAACCAAACGATTACGTAAGATACAGGGGTGGTTCCATTAGAAGTGGGTCACACTGTATATGTCGGCGTCAAACAGTGAAATCCGTCATTCCCTGGAATGCCTAGTCATTTCACGTATTCAATTCAAGAAAATATATTCAACAGTCTCTAGAAGAAACAACATTATATGTACTATGTATATGATTTAAAAATGATTGTCTGATTATCTATTTTTTTTTTTGTTGCTCTTTCATAATTTTCCCTGCCTGCTATAAACATATATGTTTCTTGGGAATAATAAAGATTATTATTATTAACTTAATGATGACCAGTTTGAATATTTCAATTTTTTTCAAATGGAATAAAAACATTCGAAAAGTTGACAGTCACTGACATTACAGTTGAAAATTACAACAAACGTTATTCCCTACCTTATTTTTCCTACTATCAGCCTTCTCCTCGTCGTGCCCTGGGGGCGGCGGAGGCGGCCCCTCAGAGCTCGCGTCCAGGCTGAACGACACCGAGTTGGTCTTCTTGCGGGCAGGACTATCGGCAGAGTCGCCGCCCCCGCTGGAACTGGTGTACGTCGCGTGCGAAGGGGCGATCGTGATGGGCGGCACCCACTCCTTCGAGAGCACGATGTCGGCATCGCTGTATTTCTGTAATAGGCGACTGAGATTAAGATCGTAGCGCCAGAACGGCGAATGTCGGTACTACTCTATGGGCCATTGGCGGATTGTTTACATTGTTTGGTAATGGTGTTTATGTTCATTTCGTTTTGAGTTTTCAAACGTCCAGCTTTGTTATTTGTCTATTTTCGAACTTTGTATTTTCCAGTGGTCTACTGTGTTTTGATTGAGGACTATATTATCTCTGTTCAACATTAGATAACCTCCCTACCTCTATTTGAACTTCATATATACCAACATGCATAGGCTGTGAGTTTTTATCATTATTGAACAAGAATTCTCATGGAAACCTGTGTGGAATGTTGATTTCCAATTCGAATATAGCTGGGATATTCCCCTGATAGTGCATGATATTTTTAAAACAAAATCCAGCAAACTTTTTGGGAATAAAGTGTTCTTTGGAAGGTGAATTTAGGTAAACAGTTTCTACTTGACTTTTTACAACATAATCATCGAAACCCTGATTGATAACATTCTTTACTGTTCAAAAATTCTACTGTTCATGAGTAAAGATATAATCAGTTTGAAATTTGTTCTTTTACCACCACCTCAGGAAGTAGGTATTATATTCATAATAAACATACATTTGAAAATATACCTATAGGTATGAGTAAATTTTCAGTGAAGTGTAAAGAACAATATCTCATTATGTTCAGACACTTTACACTTTTTCCAATCTTCAAGTTATGAATCCACACCTTTCTCCTACCGATCACTTCCTTGTTTCCCAAATTATTAGTTTCAAATACAAATTTAGACTGTCCTGATTTTTGAAAGGAATGAAAGCTATACTCGGGATTTTTTTGCTCAAGATGAACAATGAGGTACACAACAATGATGACTCATGTTTTTAAACGTTTATAAAGTTCTCAAACAAAATTATAGACAAATGAAACACAACTACTTCTCATACAAAATACACGCAAACTAATGTAAACAAAGCAATCAATGGCCCATACGTTAGTTATATTAGACAACGGTAGAGGGAGTACTCCTTAGCATGAATCGCCTATAGGCAAGAATGCTGAGTTCAAGGAAAACCGCAACATGATAGCTTTTCGCCAACGGAAGATATTAACTACCAAAGTTGGAAGAAAGATACATATGACAGCCGTTCTTAGTTGTCCACCCGGTACAGGGGGCTGGAATTCGAGCCTCATCATTGGTAGAGTCACTGGATGGTATTAGTTTGATAAGAGTTCGGACACAGCTGAACTTTTGTCCTTTTCTATTTTCTATAATACAATATTATATTCTGTTCTTTGTCTTTTCAATTTCCCTAGTAGCGCCTGATTGTCAGATACGATTTTAGAGGTAATATTTTCTGTCAAATCAATCATAGCCGTAGATGGACAATGGGTATAGGGTACAAACACCCACTTCAATTTTGATACACTTCTAGAAGAACAACTGTTATATAAATGAAAAGAATGCATGTAGAATATTAGAAAATGTACAAATATGGATAAACTTATAACTATAATTCCTTATTGTATGTGAAACTGTACTCCAGTGATGAGTATAAAACATGAAGTTATTTATATTAAATTAAAGGTATATAGGTATTCTCAATATACAGGAAGTAACATATAAGTACTTTCAAGTGAAGTATTCCTGAGACAATTATGAGAAATAAAGTCTATATAAGCTTTTGTGTCCGAAAAAATTAGTTTATTTTGACGAGACCTACCAAATACTTGGTTTTGAAAAGTTCTCATCAACTCCACTTAGCGCCCTAGGAGATAAGAAAGTAACATATATGGATCGATATAGAAAATATCTCCAAAATGATAACGTCCAGCGTAGTTAAGGCCCTTATAATAATTCCCTTGATACATAAATAACTATTCACTTTCCACTGTTAAATTTTAAATTTGGTTGGCACCAAAAATTCAATAATATATCACTTTGTAGTTTACTTGCTTTTCTTAGTTTCGTTTTCAAATTCTCAATTTCATTATGTAATTTTGTGATCATTTCCTCTTTTCCATGATTATTTTGTGTGATGATAATAATGAAATTTTGTTCTCGAAATCGCCTGCTTCGTAAATTGATGGAATAGCAGATACTCACAAGCAGATGTTGAAATCTTCTGTTTGAAAATGGGCCTAAAATATAGTTTCATTCTAATCAGATGCTGTTATAAAAAGTGAATTTTAATGAGTACCTCACAAATCTCGCTCGTCTTCAAATTGATTTTGCACCCAGGCCATTTCATATCTTCCTTCCATAAGCGAATGGTTGATATTTGTTTCGGAAAATTGAATAAATGATATCCATTTTTTTCAGAATTGGCACAATTTATTACACAGCAAGTAATTCCCATAGCTGCTTTTATCTCGAATGTATAATTATGAATTTTTATTTCTTCTGACGTTTATAAAATGTATTGTCAAATTCAAACAACTTTGAATGAAAAAGCGCGGGACGACTATGGTGCTCTTGTCACAATGCAAGGTGTGTAACTTAATAAATCTAAACATTCAAAAACCCTAACCGTTGTCATTTCTGTGTCCGAACTCTTATCAAACTAATAACATCCAGTGACTCTAATCATTGGGATCTCGTAAACCGTAAGAGATACAGGGTCGGTTAAATTATGGCAAAGTTGCGCAATTCGATGCCTAACAGAATGACGTTCTGAAACTTGGAAAATTCCGAATACTTTCGAAGATATCCGAAAAAACTCCAAACATCCAAGTTTCAGAACGGCATCAAATTGAGCATCATTACCATAACCTTAACCTTAACCGACCCTGTATCTCTTACGGTTTACTTGATCCCAATGATGTGGCTCGAATTCCAGCCACCCTGTACGTTGATATGACGATGAGAGAGAATTTTTTTCAAATATATGCCTCCATTTGAAGACGACGGAAATCGTCAGTGGTACTGACGTCATAAGCACTGCAACGCACCAATCGTTTTTTGGTAGTCAAGATAAATCGATAATTCACTTTTCAGTATGAAATGCCGCTTTACTTTTTATTGCACATCATATAAGACACCAGTTTCTTTACTTTGCATGTCAATAGTTGGTATTCATAGTGTTTCATGAAATTGAAGAAAAATAAAATTTGTTTGTTTGGAAATTCACAATTCCAATGATACGTGAATTAAAATGTTGTTATACAGAGGAAGGGTGCTATAAGGCCGATAAATAGATATAGCTTTCAGATCTGAAACGGAGATGTCGCTAGTATGATAATTTCTACGAAGTCGATTGTGTGAAATTCATCTCAAATGAATACTTGAAACATAATTGTATTCCAAATCTTTCATTACCAGAAAGGGCACGAAATCGGGGTTTCTATGGAAATAGCTGAAGAGTTGGCCTCGCTCCTCTACAGAGAGGTAGATGTGATGAACACATATTTAGGTCTGTATTTAAAAAAATTGATCAAGTGATGATGGTTCTATGAAGGGAAATCTAATCAAAAAGTTACTATAGAACAACTTCAATAATAACATACAAACAAAATTAGATTTTCCAGTAATTCCCTTTTTTGATATAACTGAAAAACTATAAATAATTATGAAATTTTTGAAGGCTGTTGGAATGTCCCCCCGAATGCACCACTTTTTCCCTTCATACCGAATCCGTATATCTTACCGTTTCTGAAATCCCCATGCTGTACAACCTAATCTAGGTCTCACTATAACAAGTAGGTATAGTCTTTCCAAAGTAAATTTTGAAGAAGCTTCATCGGAAAATAACCGCACGTGCCGCCGGTACTTTTGAAAGTAAAAATATTTTTTGTTGGACCTGTTCCAATTGACTTTGTGGAAAGAGTATCAAAATTATAATAAATATGTATTAATACTTGCATATTATTTTATAGTACAAGTGTGCTTCACTTATTATGATGATACATCCTTCCAAATTTTGAAATTTCTATTAACAACAGCAACAGCTGCTGAATTACAATCACGAAATAACGAAAATTCTAGAATTGATGCGGTTCCAACTTAATAAACTTGCAGTTTCGGAATTATTCATTGTACAATTTTCAAGTGAACATAGTGAAAGCGAAAAAGAACAAACTCGTATTATATTTCAATGCAGTTATTTCCGAAAATTTTATGAATTCGTGTCACATACCTTTTTCTGTGGAATTGGTAATATGGGAGGTAAACTGGTTTCTCGAATATCAATGCCCGAATCATGACAACTTTCTTCTTTGTTCGAACCATCTTCTTCATCTATGTTCTCTTCTTGAAAGCTAGATGTAGAAATTGCTGGAATTTCGTCGGTATCAATAGATCTGAAATGAATTAGAGAAAATTATCTTTGAATCACATTTGTACCGTCAGTCGAAAACTGAATATGAAACTACAACGCCTTTACTTACTTGAAAATAAGTTAGTTGCATATGAAATAGAGAGGGGCGTGTCAAATACATTCATTTGTCAGAGTACCTACCACACAGATTCGAGGGCGTGTCAACAAATCTTTAGAGGCGTGTCAGATAAAGAAGTACAAGTACAATCACAAGTGAATGCTATTCCAACTGACTAATCAATGTTTTCAATCTACGAATACTATTTATGTGAAGTAATGACATGTTAAAATTAGTAAGGATATAAGTTGAATTTGCAACAGTGCGAGGACTCAGATAAAGAGGTGGGCGTGTCATATAACAAAATAGGAGTGTCAGTGAAATGGAAGTGTGAATTTGAACTGTCGAGGATTGATTCCATGTTCCGAATATACAAACAACATTGATGTCAAGTGATCACATGTAGTGGACAAACTCGCTAAGAAAGGAGATCAAAAAGCCTTCGTGGGGCCAGAACCCGCAGTAATAAATCAGAAAGAATTAGAAAATAAGAAGCTAAACAGAGATTAGACATCTGGGGAGTCCTAACAGAGCACTACCGGTTGAAATGACATCTTATCTTAGGAAGCTCGAAGGTTCTGCGGGGAGGAGGAGGAAACGTCTATCCACATACTTACCGAATGTGTCACTCTACAGAATCAAAGAGCAAGAAACCTTGGAGCCACATAATAGAGGAGGAGCTACCCTACCTAGAATCACCTCATATTATAGAATTTCAGAAGGATATAGGACTAGAGAAATTGCTATAGATACAGAGAACAACCTCATCTAGTACATGAAAAAAAGGCGACAATAGCTTTTAGGTCGCAATGTATTCACCCCTTTTGCATACAATACAATAACATGTTAAAATTAGTGAGAGTACAAGTTGAATTTGACTCATATGAGGAAGTGGGCGTGACACACTAGGGTGAAGGTGTGTTAGATACAGAAGAAGGCACGTCAGAAAACGAAGTAAGCGTGTCATATAACCGAAAAGACATGTCAGTAGAATCAGGCAATCCCACTCAGGTTAGAATGAAGCTAGCGCGAAGGTGGCGCCTAGTTGGCACCAGGTGTGACTAGAACAATTAAATAGTTTCTTTTTGTGATTTTCTGTGATTATATGAATAATTGTACTTGTGATATCATAATGATTTGAGTATAAAAACGATTCATCACCCATACATGATTTCATTGTGTGCCAACCAGCACATAGTTTGACAAGTCATTGGATTACCTTATGAAAGTGAACGAATTTGACCTACTTATAATGACATTCAAACCGTCAGTCGTAAACTGAATTTGAAACTACAACGACTTCACTCAGTTCAAAATTATAAGTTTCATTTGAAATAGAGAGGAGCGTTGCAAAAAATCTTTAGAGAAGTAGGAGTACAATCACAAGCAAATGTACAACTGACAATTCCATGTTCTCAAACTACGAATGGGTACTATCGATGTAGTGACATGTTAAAATTAGTAAGCAAACAAATTGGATTTGAATGAACACAATGAGTTGTGTGTCAGACACATAAATGGGTGTCAGATAATGAAAAAGGCATGCCAGATAACGAAGTAGGTGTCTCAGATAACGAAGTAGGCGTGTCAGATAACGAAGTAGGCGTGTCAGATAAGGAAGTAGGCGTGTCAGATAACGAAGTAGGCGGGTCATATAACCAAAAAAGGGTGTCAGTGGAATGAAAGTGTACGGATTTGAGCTACTCACTGCCTGTCTCTGGACGGTATGGCCCAATGGTGGTCGAGCAACGACTTCCGCCTCTCCTCGAGCGCCCTCTGCTGGTTATCGGCGTCCTCCAGGTTGGTGGGTGTAACCAGCTCTCGGTCGAACGCCTTCGGGAAGGCATCGCCCTCTCGCTCTGTACAGGAACACACAGACTCGGCGTCATCGCCTGCTACTAACACAGAAACACACTACTCACGACATCGAACATCCAAAGACACTTATTTGGCCAGAAAGAAAATGAAACTTCTAGAGAAAGATATGGATCATTCTGATCTCTAGCCAGCAATGTCCAACCATAGTTGATCTATATCAAAAAGCTAGTATGCGAGTAGGTATGCATATAGTAGAGTAGTTCATTTAACCATGTTACATAATACAAATAAGTTTATGGCAGGTCAGAGAACTACAGTAGCGATTACCTTCACAGCATGTTGAAATATCGCCACTCAGATGAAATAATATTCTATTAAAAATTTCAAAAATGCCAATAACGCTTAGTGACAATGATTCACATAAAGGTTGAAATGTTGATGATGGACTGCATAATGTTTTTGATCAACTGTTTTATAGTTACAATGTGACGTGCATATCTTATATTCATATTTGCTTGATGTTATTTATTTTTCTTGTTTTCATCCTATTTATTTGTGTCACGTAATTGTACAAATTGACTGTGTATATTTTATATTTATTCATTTTACTACATAAGAACTTTGTCAATAAGAGTATATCTTCAGACAATAAAGTATATTATCAATTATAAATCACTCAGATTGACAATGGTCCGACTAACCCATACATCCAAAACCACCCAACACTACTCACCCAGCTCCGGAAACGTCTCGTCCTTCACCATCAGCGAGTCCTGGTCCTTGTCCTTCGGATAGTAAATCTCCGGCTTGTCGCCGCTGGTGGCCTCCACGTGGCCGACGCGCATGTGCGCGATGTCGCTGTAGATGGCCGCGTTCACCACGAACTCCATGGGGGCGATCACCCCGTACGCCTCGGGTCCGTGCTCGATCACCAGCGGATCGGACACGTTCGGATCGAACATCACCGCGTTGGGCGTGACCAGTAGAACTCCGCCCACCACGCCCTCGAATCAAATCACAATATACACTCACCGGCCAGCAGAATTTGAATTATAATGATTGTGTGTTACAATGGCAAATTAGTCGGTCAATCAACAGTTATTTGGCTCTCTGCTGTAAAATAGTTCATTCTCGCCCAGTCCACGGGACCTTATAAAGGGGAAGTTTCCTTCAGATGAATTCTCATAAAATAAGTTCGGATTTCTCCAGTTTTATGTCCACGCTGTACAGAATGGCGACCGGTTCAGTCCAACTCGTTTTCATTTTCAAAATTAAAGCAATTTCATTTACATTCTGAATCTAGTCTGAAAATAGCTGATGGTGAAGAATATTGCTAGCGAATTGCTAACGAATAGCTAAGGAATGAAAAAATAGGAAAAGTAAAACTGGTAAACAAAAACATACATAACCACAAATGCACTCGGAGCAAGAATGCAGAAGGTAGTTGGCTTCATTCTGGCAGGTTATGGTTTTGTTATTTATGCATTGAAATATTATGTCGAATAGAGATCGATCTTAAACGAAAATATCATTGAGTCAATGAATCACTATCGGCTACATTCAATGATACTATCCTTCCTAACTTCCTGCCATCGTTCAGAATAGAATGAAGCCGACACCCATGGCTCCTTCCTCTTGTTATGCCTGTCAGTATTTTGAGTGGTGTAGACGGACTCGAAGTATTAGGCGCTGTTGCAAGATATAATCTGCAACTTTCCTAAAAAATAGATCCGTTTCATTGAGGAACGAACTCATTAGCAAAAAAATAACTGACAAGTTATGAATAACATATTGTAATATAACGATAGTGAAAAATTATAGATACTATCGCAAAATATCATAATTCATCTTTATTAGTAATCAACTTCATTCAGCCAATGAGAGATTTATGGGAATTATTCATAATACTTGACAAAGTAGGATTGAAGAAGCTATTATATCCCATTGCTGTTATGATTAGTAATTATGCATTCAAAGAACAATTTCTGGGAATCTAGACGTATTGATGATGTCGGCAACGTCGTACTGGCACAGAGAATGGAATTTTAACTCTGTGTGGATGTGAATTTTCAGAAAGTACGTCATAGGAATGCTGGAGAAGCGAAGTTCCTCTTTTATTTATTTTTTTCTGAAGTGAAATTTGATCCTACGAATAAAATAAAAAATACGTATATATTAATATTTTACAAACTTCACAGTGAGATAAAAACCACAATATAGGAAACTTCCCCATTATTCCGGTTTCTTATTTCTCTGTCGATTGTTAGTTATATTTTACTCGTCCTCAAACACTTCTTGAACTCGAAAGAGAAAATTCGTGCAGAAACAAATTTGTCAAAACTCACACTGGAACGATCATACAAACTCAAAAGATATTTAACAGATTTCCAAGAAATCAATATCAATTCTAGTAACAATTGACATTGAGCTTGTGTGCAAAAACCGGCATATCCATTTTTTCGGTTTTTAGTTTATGTCGATTATTGCATCTTCAGCTTCATTTCTAATGACTACTGAAGTAATTCGTTCCAAAAGCGTTCATATCCGTAGTGAAATTACATTTAAAAAGTAGATTTTGGGGCAAAACTGGCCAAATCCACGTTTTTATATGAATGAGAATGGTATATTCATGATTAATTAATGAAAACATTCTGTAACTCATTTGATTGCCAATGTCACCAATTGTCACTGAGAACTGAGAAGTGTCAAGACAAATAAGAAATTGCTATTCAAATATCCATTTTTTATGTTGAAAACTGGAGCAGATTCATTCCCGAAACGTCCAAAGCTGAGTGAAAATCTGATATTTTTTCTATATACCTTTATTTCTCTTCTCCAAACCTTTCTCAATACAAATTGTCACTGACAAGCTAGTGAATTTTTCTTTTCGGCTCTCTGATAGGAAAATTCTTTAAACGCAGTGACATTTTGGGGCAAATCATCTGATTTGTCCTTACCACACGTATATTGAAATAATATTCATATTTTCATTTCATAGAAACGAGGAGAAAATCCCAAAAAATCTGGAATAATGAATGTACCACCTCCTCGATAAACCTACACACAGTATTTAGGAAAGTAGTTGTTTTTCTGCCGTCATCTACCATTTTGTGGAAACGACTTTGAGTTTCGTATGTATGTATCCAAAAGAATCATAAATACCTGCCCGTCGGTGATGTGGCGCACATTGATCTTGAGGAATCGTTCGCGGAACACGAACGACTCCGATGGATCATCGGCGCTGGTTCCCCCTCCACTGGGAAAAGAGGGCGTGCGTACGCGCTCCACGTGACCTGGCTTAGGGCTGACAGGGCGCAGGTTCTCGAGCAGTTCTGAAAAGAACGCGTAGGCGTTCGATGAGGCTGAGGTTAGGTAGGAGTAGAACGACATGGCGGGTTGTGGTTGGATGACGGAGCATTTGACGTGTGAATAGGTGAAATGTCCGGTAGATTTATCGATGTTTGGCTACGTATACTTTGGGTATTTACGAGAAACGTTCGTTGATGGAAATATGTACTATTATCTTTGCAATCACTGTTCCGAAACATTTCTCATATTTTCCTAGAGGTATTGAGTAAAAACATTGAGCCACTGCCTTGTGTCGATTGCTCGAAGATGTTGTCATATCATGATTATTTATGGAAATGTTCAGGCAAATCTTGATAACAGAATAGAACATTTTATTATTTTTCAATACTCATGACTCATGAATTCGAAACTTATTCATAAAAATTGAGGTATTCTATCAAACGTTAGATAATGAAGATGCTTATAATGATCAATGATCTATCTTGAGGGTGTTTTTATTTTTAGAGTATTTCAATTGGAACTTGATTTTTTTATTTCCTATGATTACATGGAGCGTGAAAAGTATTGCAGAGTGTTATTTCTTCTTAAATGAAATCCCTAACTATATGATATAATAATGAGATGATCTCGAAGATGTTTTCTGATTCATTGAAAAATATTACAGATTACTGTGACCAAAATACAACTATTTAAACGGACTCATGCTCAGCACAGGCTTGAGAGTTTTTGTCACACAACTCTAGCAAACTTCTTTTGTTCATACAAGTACAAAAACATATACCAAGGAAGTTTTCCCAAGAATCTATAGCCCCCAAAAGTTGACATGCTTTTTTTAAAGATTTTGTTGATATATTGCTCTGACATTTTGTAGATACATTGATTTATTATAAGTATGCATGAAAAACTTCTCACTCTTTTCTTTTTGACCAAGTACTGTTAATAAGGAAATCTTTCAAATTTTGGTTTGATATTCTTCAATTCTTCATTTTGCTGGAAATTCAGCATACTTGAAATGTTCAACTGTAACACCCTGTAAAACACAATTCGTGGGGAAATGCATTCCTAACGATGTAAATACATCCAATAACACCATCAAGTGATACATTTTCAACAAAAATAATCCTCATTTTTGACACCTTCAAGCCTCCCTAACACACGTCAGTGGCTTAATATTTTTTTCTCACAAACGATCTACGTGTTTATTAACAAAACTGTATCGAAAGACGCGGAAAAACAGAGAAACAATAACACGATTCACATCCACAGTAACTGTCAGTACAGAACTAATACTAGCCTGAATACGGCAAAAAACAGTAAAACATCTAGTCGAGCTTGGCCAATCACGAACCGTCAGAAATTTATCAGCATGTGATAAAACAACAACAATAATTTAAATTTATTCATGCCAGCTTCGATAGCGGAATGCTAGTTACTTTACACTACAGGTGATACCAACAAAAATAGCTTTTATAAATAAATCGAGATAACCACTGCGCGGTTTATTTTTTCACAATGTTTTACAATTTTGAATTAAGGTACGGTCGAGACAGCTGTCTTTACTTTGATTTGTTCAATGTGATCAGTAGACTTTTCTGACATAACGACTGATAATAGACACCTAATCTAGAGTTGTTTAAACATGCGATAAGCAACCACGAAATGCAGTGTGGGCACCGAAACAGAATAAGGCACAAAAAATAATTCATTTCTTTATAACATCATCATTCTTCTAAAAAAACGCACTCCAGTCGTTGCTTTCACCCTTCAAATGGGAGATTCAACTGTTTTCTCGAATTGAACTTAATAAAAATTAATTATTGAAGCCGAGATTGAAACCTAAAAACTTTTTTGATGTTTTGCAAGAAAATAGTATATTGTTTAATGAGCACGGAATGATAGTGATTTCCTACGAGAATGAAGTTTGCAGCATGAGCAACAGGCGAATGCTGCAATCATTCCAGTAGCATTCCGTACAAGTTATACACTATGCTTTTTCTACTGCTATGATAGATAACAGTGGCATTTTCGATTTCTTCGTCTTGTAGCCATCTGATTTTCTGTGAAGTAATGCTCATCTATTAGACAGTGCTGCCATTGCTTAAAATTTGACATTCCATGGGCGATGAGTTTTTTTTCAAAGAATAACACAATGGAGTCATTGTGATATCAGAATCAGAAACGGAAATAAAATTGATGACATACAAAGTACTAAATTGATGTATCGATCACAGTGAAAGAAGAGCAATCCTGTGTAATAGCCGTAGAAAAATTGATAATTACGTGTTCCAGAAAGTTTGCAACATGCTGATGATAAAAAATGCCTGATATTAAAAATGTTTTGCGCTTTTAATCGATCATAGTTGGCCGTGTGATATCGCAATGAGCGAAAAAACATTTTGAAATCGGTTAACACATGAGGGTGGTGCTGTTCAAAGTAAATGGCACACTTATATAACTTTTTTTTCGCACCTACATAGATCACCCGGTATTAAGGCTGATTGCTTTTAAATTGAAGAGACGAATATATACAGGCTGACTGACAAAAAAACGCTCCAAGCCATAGCGCCGTTATTAACTATCCGATTTTGAAAAACAAAAAAAAAGCAAATGAAATTATTGATCAGATACTATATGAGTACATGAGTAGGCTCTAATCATTATTTTGTCCGATGTCAACGACTTTATAAATAAAAAAAACAAATGGAACAAGATCTCGCTTCAATTACATTATGGTTACAAGATCATAAATTGACACTAAATTTCGATAAATCTTCATTTATGTTCATCTCGAAAAGACTTATACCTGATAACCAAATAGATCCTTTAAAATTCGGGAATTTTTGTATAAATCGTACAAAAAGCTCCAAACTCTTAGGTTTAACTATATACCAGTCTCTATCTTGGTCATCGCATTTCAATTGCTCAGAAAAAAATATCTCCCATTGTTGGTATATTATACAAATTGAGGTCTTTTATACCTCTTGAATACTTGGAATTAATTTATTTCAGTTTGATTTACTCTAAATTGAAGTATAAGATATCGATCTGGGGTACTGCAGCAAAATGAAATCTTTTCAAAATAAAGCCATAAAATGTATTTATAAACTACCATTTCTGGAATCAACAAACCAAGGGATCTGCTAGATATTGACTCTCTCTACGAAATGAAAGTATGCCATTTTCATTCATTTCACTAAAAATAAGAAAAAGCACTCGAATCTTACTTTCAATATCAATTCTAATACCCATGAGCATCACACCAGACAAAGTGAACATTTGAAAACTGTCAAAATAAAAACCCAATTCGGGAAAAAAATCATTGTATTTTTGTGGAATGAATATTTATTATAGTCTACCCAACAGAATAAATTCTATTAGGTTCGTCACAAAATTCAAGTGTGAACTGAAGAAATATATTTTATCAATTTAACTCTCTCCTTGTATCAATTAATTCTGGTTGAACAACAAATCTTTCATTGTATTGCATATTTGATTTATTTATGATAATTTTTTTTTGTTTTCCTCTATAAACATTGTATGTTTCTTGGGATCAATAAATGTTATTATTGTTATTGTTATTTCATTCCACTTTGAGTATTTGGCTTTTTCCTAGTTGATTATTATTATTATTATTAACAACATCATTATGAGGTACCTTTTTCTTCCGGTGGCAGATCATCGTGAGAATCCTCGACAGGGGTGGACCCTTCGGATTCGTTTTCGGGCACCTCCCTGTTCGGCACATACAGCTGCTGCCCGGGGAAAATGTACGGAGTGGCTAGCCTGTTCAGTTTGGTCAATTCAGATGGGGTGGTATCGAATCTGGCCGCCACAGAAGTGAGAGTGTCCCTGTCTTGGACCTGTGACACAAAAAAAAACGTAAAACCAGTGTCTCAAACTGGGAGGGGTCCATCATGTACCTTTTGTTCCGCTTCTTGGTAGATTAGTCATAGGCGAAAATTTGGAATTTTTCAGGGCTTGAAATTGAAATGAAATTGCATTTGCGAAAATGGGGTTGCACACACTAGTCGAATAATCACTAGTTTGTTTTATCAATTAGAACACCCTGTATATTTTTGCATTTTCAAGTTCAACAGGTCAAAACAAGTGCAATCTTAATGTCAAATGTCATTTTCCCGGAAAAATTGAGTTCTCGGCCCATGATCCTGATATACCCGGTATCTAGTGGCTCAATATTTGTCGTCAGCCTTACCGAGCACGATTTTTTGTCTTTTTACCAAGGTTATCATTTTTCAAAGAAAATTATATGTAATTTTTTATAGTACCTAGCTAATGACAGGTAAATAAGTCACTAATGACAAGTGAATAAGTCACTGATGACGAGTAAATAAGTCACTAATGACATATGAATAGATAACTAATGACAAGTGAACAAGTCACTAATGACAAGTGAATAAGTCACTAATAACAAGTGAATAAGTCACTGATGACAAGGGAATAAGTCATTAATGACGAGGGCTGTGTTCACTAACGGTAATCAATAAAAAATTCAATGGAACAGGTTAATAGTGGTAGGTGTACATTTTCAGGAACACAAGTATTCTTGTGGCTATTAACCTGTTTCCTTGTCCCAAATAGTATACAAGTTTTTACTTGCCACTATTAAATATTCACCTAGGGTAAGTGATTTTTTTCTCCGTCCATAGAAAGACGGTAGAAACGTAGAAACATGTCTCAGAATTCAAAGAAAACCTGACTGATATTTCTTGATATTCTTCCTCTACTTCGAGTATGGACTACTTCCGATAATCCCAATGACAGGAACTGGTGCAGTGTATCTCCAATGAGTGTATATTTACCTCTGAAGGAAACATATTAAGACCACAGGGAAAATAGGGAGAATGTCACAATATAGTGGAAATTTACTTGACACCGCCATCCCACGGCCATTATATTTTAAAATAAACAAAAGTCCATAGCAATAGCGCAGCATAGTCAGCTGATTTGCTCGTTCGAAAATACGTTCACATGGAAAAAACGCGGAATGTCCACTTCAAAAATGTGAAAAAAGGGGAACGTCCAAGCTTAGTGCTTGCTTGAATACAGGTTCCATTGTGATTTTGATAGGTCTTTTCACACTGTCAAAAGGTCAAAGTGAACTCTCAGGAAAACAAAAGATGAGGAAAAAAAAAGATACGACCACCTTTTTTCATCTCTTGGAGCATACGAAAGGGAATCCCTATAATGTTCGGGGAACATCGTGGGTAACTAGGGAGGATAGGGAGAGGAGGGAGGTATTGGGATTTTTTTTCAACTTTTGGAGATTATCAGTTCTTGGGAATACTCTGTTTGGCAAAAAATCCAAAGCTTTGCCTTTCTATGTATAACCGAGTTTCGATAAAGAGTTGTTCGACATATTTCGAGGTTAACGACAAAAAGGTGTGCTGACTGGGCTTGTCGAGTACGTCTGAGTGATGGGAATAAAATAATGAGATTGCTACATGATGATCCCTACTCGTATCGCGTGGAATTTATAGAAAATGATCAAATTACAGAGATGCTAGATGTACTATATGACAACTTACCGCTCATTAGGTAGTCAGGCAAGAATGGAGAAATGTACCAGAGCCGATAATTGCGAGTAAACAATCCAGTTTTTTGACAATTTATTTGGACATTCCCCATTCTTCCCTTGAATCTTTGGACTTATTTGTTTCATTCAAATATGATTTTCATTTCTAATTGTTCAACTTGATGACTCATTATACTCCATCAAATGAATCCAGGTGGTTTGATTTCAGTTTCCTTCAACTTCCAAAAAGTTTTTCTCGAAACTTACTTTTTGTGACATTCCACCTTTTTCTCTTATGGTCTTTATATACATTGAGTGCAGAGACACTCATCCAGTTCCTGCCAATGGAATTCGCTATAATATTCTCAGAAAATTCTACAGGGTGATTCTCGACCTATACGCAGAAACTCGGGGGCGTGTACACCTTAGTAGAACTTTTAACTCAAACCATGTTTATAATGATCCTTTTATACATAAATAATGATTGACGACATAATTCGATCGAAAAATTATCTGGAATGTTTTATTTTTGGACATAAATAATAGTACCTTCTGAAAACGGACCCTCTTATGACGTAGAAACCTCATCTCGCCATAGTTAAAAGAAAATACCAAACGCCCGACGGAGACTGAGGCAACTGATATATTAATTCTTTCAACTGTGATCTCGCGCTAATGGGCGTGTACACCTTAGTAGAACTTTTAACTCAAACCATGTTTATAATGATCCTTTTATACATAAATAATGATTGACGACATAATTCGATCGAAAAATTAACTGGAATGGTTTATTTTTGGACATAAATAATAGTACCTTCTGAAAACGAACCCTCTTATGACGTAGAAACATCATCTCGCCATAGTTAAAAGAAAATACCAAACGCCCGACGGAGACTGAGGCAACTGATATATTAATTCTTTCAACTGTGATCTCGCGCTAATTCACTCTGTCAGAAATCATGTATCATTCATCTCTGTCTGGAATAGTCTTGTTTCAGTATTAGGGTTTTGACGTCACATCATCGCCTCGTTTTCAGAGATCCGAAAA